ATACTGCAAGAAGCCACGGCATCATGGGTTCCGGTATTTTCTTTCCATGAGCAAGATGGCTTGCAACAGTCCCAGTAGCGGGTAGTAGTGCCAGATCCACTGAGTTTGGCAGCAGCTAGGCCTACGGCTAATTTAAACCTTATTATTATATAGAACAGGAATTTCTTTAGTAATGTAAGGAAGTCTGACAGTGTATTTGCAAAAGCTGTGTAGGAATTAAACGAAATCATGTTGCTCAATAAAGTTGCTCTTTTTATGTAGATATATTAATAATGTGTTACTTACCAATAGCGCAGAACAAAGCAACAGCAGAAGTATTCATGTCTAACAGCTGAATAACTATGCCAACTACATGTTGAATTGAGCCTTATATACTGTTCGTCAAGTATCATCTTTCTGCGTTAATGCCGTCAAATTGCCTCTTAGTTTTATCGATCATCCGATCGACAGGTTTTGAAAATCGACTCAAGTACATGAATACAGAAATATATTTTTTATTGATTATATTTTAAGTACCGCGCGTGTTCTGGATATGATGCGAAATGACGGTATATTTGTATAGTAGTTAATGGTGGTATTAGTGTTAGCGAGACAGTCAATTTTCAAGATTATTTTGTATGAGTATACCTGCTTATTTCAGCCAGCAATAAAATTTAATTTTTCCTTGTTTCTTATGGTTGCATTTGACCATTGCAGTTAATTACATGATGTATGCGGATATGTCACTGTAACTAGCTTTTTATAAAAATTTTTCATTAACTTTCATGTTACTTAAATATAGCATTTGTTGATCTAATTGAATAGTAGTTCTTACTGACCCTTTTTTTCTTTCCTACAAAGTTACAGATTATGAAGCATCAGCTCAAATTGCTGTGTTAGAACTGGTCATAAATCTACACATTCAGACATTTCCGGGACACCTTGTATACAAGTATTGTATACAAGGTGTCCCTTCAAATACACCTTCAAATACACCTTCCAAATACGAAATTGCTGAGATAAATGCTTTGGTTTCGAAAATTGCACAGAAAAGTAAAAAAAAAATAAATAAAACCTAACAGAAACTCCAGGTAACGTTAAAGTGTCTCTAGAAGATAATTGATTTATTTTTTTAATATTTATCCCATTCGTCAGACAATACATCAAACGATCTGAATCGGTAAAATATGTATCTACCTACTATAAACTAATCTTGGAACAACTTCAAAATTAAAAGCACCTTCTGGGAAATTTAAGGTTTAGATTAGCCAATTCAATATAGGATCGGCATGGGTGGTCCATGCTCGTCCATGGTCAATTTAAAACATTTGACAAACGAACGGCAAAACTCCCAAATTAGCGAAGCGTGACCCAAAAGTTTTAAATTATGATGGTAGAATCATCGAGACCAAGAAGCTCTGGCTGTTAAATAGGCGTATGGTTCGAAATCATTCTATTTCGCAGACGAAAATGTTGGGTTTGTTCATTTCGGAAGCATTAAGATTAGAATTGGATGACACCACACAAAATAGGAGAGAAGAAGTCGAAAGCAGGACGTGGAGATTATTTTGTATCGTAAACTATTTTATTATATTTGAAGCCAGTATTACAAGCATAATTTTCAAACTTCTTAACATCAGATCTGAAAATGGTAGCTTTTTTGAAATATTAAGCTTGATTAGATATCCGTTCTTCAGTAAAATTTAAACGATGTGACTGTCAAGAATTACTTATCAGCCAATTATATACTGACCATTAAATTACATTTTAGAGGCAAACTATTACAATATAGGAGAGACGATAGAGCTCCCTGGCCCAGTAAGCGGAAACAAAAAAAAAGAACAACAATAATAAGTAAATCGTAAAATCGAAATCAATTGAAATTAATATGTTCCCTGAATAAAATATGTCACATTGTATCAAAAAACACATCCGGGATCAGTTATTGATTAATTGCGGGCTAAAGTGTTCTTAAAGTTTCAACTCGAAATGTATGAAGGGTCGCATAATCTTTGAGTGTCTGCCCATTGTTGTAGTAAATATAAACTTTCTGTGGATACTTACCCTTTGCCAATAAGCTTATCATTATCAGCCGAAGCCGAAATATCTGATCTTCTCGATGAATATTATATCTGTCTGAATTAATTAGAAACTGAGCGAAATAACTATATAGTGCACATCATTCTCAAAATTTTGAAACAAGTTGTTTTTCGATTTCTATTTTTTAGTATTTTGATAGGTTTTCAAAATGTAAGTCAGACTACTGACTTGAATTGATTAACTATTAAAATAAATAATCAGTTGCTACGTTGGATCAATAGAAAATTGACTCTTTTTGATCTTTTTGTATTATTCTTACAGTAAAACGAATATAGGCAATTATAGCTGAATGCTGGTCGGTGAGCGAGTCCTGTAAGGTGTTGGGTCAGTGATAATATTAACTTGAACTTTCCTCCTAGTCATGTAAGATAATCTAATTTTGGTCGTTCTTCGATTCGACATTCGACTATTTTCACCGTAATATTTTCAGGGTGCTGTGTCAAAATCATAAAACTTAGTTAACCGTACCCTAGTAAAATATTGCATACGAGTTAATCTTCCAGTTTCAAATTTTCTTTAATTCTTAGAGTATACTACGTACAGTTTGGTGTATGGTTACTTATTTATTATCAATGTTTTGAAATGAAGAGCTCTCTCGATATTTTGATTAACATAATTGTTAGAGTGACTTTAAGATAAAAATGTATTCATACAGAGTAATTCGGAATTGGCGTCATTTCTCTGGTGCTGTTGTCTGCAGTTTTCTGCGGCGTTTAATAGTTCTTATTAAAACTGAGATATTTCCAAAACCCTAGATCACAAGGTCGGCAAAAACGTTTTTCAATGTGATCTGCCTCACTAAGATTAGGAAGATACCTGCTGCGTTTTAATTGTCAACAACTTCAGAAACCATTGAAAAGCACAAAACTTGACAACTAAAAACGTTAGGCTGCAAACGGTAAATTTTACAGGATTAGCTAAATTTGCGAATCTACTTTTCGGAAATGTCAATATTGCCAACCGGAAGTTGTTCTTTCTCTTTTTTTCTAATCTTTTATTGTCATCATGGCCTCAAATTGATGTTTCCAAAAATACATACATACATAGATACATTTCTGTGTTTAACTTAATACAAATTTGTGCCCGTCTGTACACGAGAAGATTCGCGACAAAAGTGCACCATACTGTGCTCTCGGTTAATTAACTCCCGCTCAATTTGTACAGGTATTCGGTGAACCAGAGATTTTCTGTCTCTTGTGAAGGTACCTTTCATTCATAGAAGGCTTGTAGCCCTTCCTCGGTAACTATCCTGTGCCCAGTTGCCTGGGAAAGTGTCAGTTCTTGTGTAATGCCTCGGTGCTCTTGAAACATATCCTGGACGGTCTCAATTCCTGGATCCAATCGTCCAGTGTTTTCAGCCCTGCCATGGCGTAAGTTCTAACAGCTGCTGCTATGTTAATGTGGCTTTCTCCAAAACTAGTAATCGTAACGTAAACCAACCAATTTGGTTTACGGATATGCGACTAGTTTAAATTTTGTGAGAGGAGCTGCAAACTAAGCCACAATTTGTTAAATGCTTCTCATTCCTGACCAAACTATGATATTAATGAAAAATACATTGTTGTCGCTTTGAATTGTCATCAAATAATTGAACGATTTGAAGTAAAGATTGTAATTTTTCTTTTCGAATGCTTAAATGTTCTAGTAAGGTACTTATCAAACATGGGATAATTTCAAAATATGCCTTAAAAACAAAGTTAAAATTCGATTTTCAACTTTTAATATCTTCTAGAAATTTTGGAAAAACAAGTTTCTAATACTTTTGTCGTACTCTCCAAATGGGCCTCTATAACCTCTATAATTGACTAACAAATGAGTCTAATTTTGAGTCATCCTATACTGGCAATTTTTTTCCAAACTTCTTATGGGAATCGCAAGAACTAGTTTATTCGTTGTACACCTTGTGGGATAAATCTAATGCTCTCACAGTGGTATAAATTAATTATTTGGCTTTTGAAATTAAATTCTAAGCGTAATAGTAACCGAGTAAGAGTCTAATTTATGAGGAACTACTTAATAGCTTTTAATAATCTAAATAGTGGAGTTTCGTTAGCACACACGTACCCCAATAAACAATATGAAAAGCAGCATGGCTGGAGAAACTGGTATTTTTATAAATAATTTCGTTTGATCGGAGACAAGACTTGATCTATAAATGTTTACCTTAAATACAAAATCATAGTTGCTCGTTTTTTGGATGATTTATTAGATTTGTTGTATAATTGATAAATTACTAATGCGACCCACACTTGGTACCTATTTATGATTTATGAAAGGCCGCAACGGGTTTTCGCATTTAATAGCCTAAATTTTTTTATGGCTTTTTCTTTGATTTCCAAGCCTTCCATGATATTTCTTTGACATATTTTACCACACTTTCAGAATTGTTCCCCGGGTCTCCATAATTACGGTGAAAGCGCCCGACATTCAGGCCATCATGATATATATTTTTTTAAATGCAAAATTACGTACTAACGTTGTATAACGTCGAATAACGTAAACAAGTTATCAGCCCACGAGTGCACCAACATGTGTCAATTTATATGTTATTTCGTTTTATTATTCCATTTACCCCTATATGAAAAATCAGGTGTTTATTTTGAGCGAAACATGAATAATTGTCAGCAATTTTTTTGTCCAGAAGCTTAGAAAATTGAATTAATCGAACACTCTCAAATGTTTTTACAGATTTATTGGAAAATGTCAATTAAGGCAGAATGATGGTCAAATAATTATTTTCGGATCCAGTTTAGATAGTAAGTTCTTCACGGCATTCCAGTTGTTCGAAATTGACTTGTGGGTTGTCCGCATTTTCGTACCAGCCGAATCTGAAGCAGCAACCAGCTTGAAGAACTTCAGGAATTTTGCTGCATTCTGCATTGGTAGATATTCCTTCCATCATATTTCTGATCACCAACCGGATTGGGCGGCATCCCACCGAGTTGAACAACCTCTGGTAAAAATACCTACACCACTTAGAAGTAAAATTGATTAGCTAACTATCAACTATCTAATCTATAACCTTCATTCCACAATTAGAGAATATCGTTTTTAGGGGACAAACTTTTCCTACGGGGATTTGAATGTCAAATTGGTTAGCTCCCAAGTCACCACGAGTGTATAGAGCATTGGTGAAGTTAAGCTTAAGACAAGCTCTGCAGTATTGAGTGTCCACAGCACCAGCGAATAAAACCCTAACTTTACGCAAAGTTTCGATTTATATTATTACAAATGACTTGAATCCCGTTAAGATTATTTAATTGAAATATTTAGAATGACTTTCATGTAAAATT